TGCCAGCCGGCCGGCTCCGGGCCGCCGAGCGGGGTGAGCGCGCAGCCAGGCCGAAGCCCCAGCGTCGGCGCGGGCCTCTCCCTGCGGCCATGGGGGTGTCCGCGCGCCTACTGCGCGCCGTGATCATGGGGGCGCCGGGCTCGGGCAAGGGCACCGTGTCGTCGCGCATCACCCAACACTTCGAGCTGAAGCACCTCTCCAGCGGGGACCTGCTCCGAGACAACATGCTTCGGGGCACAGGTGGGAGCACGTGGAGGGGTGGGCGCGCGCTGTATCCCAGGTCGGGATTTGCGGGCAGAGGGGCCGGGGCGGCGGGATGCGGGTCCCGGGAAGCAGGTGCGGCATCTCCCTTCCCCATCCCGGGGAGGGACCTCGGGCCGCTGAGCTACAGCTCCCCGAAACCTCTGGCCTTGTGGACAACTTCAGGCGGGTTATTGGGGGGAAAAACTGGGAAGTTAGGACAAGTTCGAAGGTCAAAGATTAAAGGACACCACTTGGCTCTGAGAGCATGACCGACCCCAGTCGCAGCTGCCCCTGAGGGTCCATCCAGCTGTGGTCTCCACGTGCCCTTGAGCCTGGAGAACTGTGTGCTCTTTCTCTTTTGACTTTTTTTTTTTTTTTGGATTAAACTCTATGGGATTTTCTGGTTCTGACCTTTCCCCCATATCTGAAGGACGAATATTATTTACCCTCGTTGCAGTCACAAAATTGGCTTAGATCTTTATACCCCCAGAGATTTCTTAAACACGAAAGCTATTCTTGTGCGTGGTTATCTGAAACATTGTTGTTTCTCATGCCAAGTAAATTCTTACAACTCAGCACAAAATCCAGTCAACAAACTGTACACTTTACAATGGGTGGATTTTATGTTATGTAAATTATATCTTAAGAAAGCTGTTTTCAAAAAGTCAACACAGTGAGGTTTTTTTTATCTCAAAAGTGTTAACATTTATTTTCCAAAACAGAACTCATTTTGAAACGCCTTTTAAAAAATTATGGAAGTAATGCCTGCACAAGGTAAAAAAGGATTGGAAACAGAAGGGAAGTACGTGAAGTGAAAAGTAAAACCCGCTTTCATTCCCTTCCTCACAATCTTAAGAGGGTAACAGTGTGATGTTTTTTCTTTTAGAAATGTGTATTTGTGTACAACACATATATGTATATCCTTTATATTAAGCAACAAAGCAACATGTAATCATGCTATGTATGTATTTTGCACTAAGTGTGTTCTCACTTTATATCTGGGATATCTTTCCACATGAAAACATAGAAATCCGTTTAACTTTTTTGATGCGTCTATAGGCATCTATGTGCTGAATCTACTATGATTTTTTTTTTTTAACCGATCCCCAGTTGGTGGACATATATGTTATTTCCAGGTGGGGTTTTTTTGTTTGTTTCAAAATACTGACATTTAAATGAAAAAAAGAATCACTCCAGTGTTTTTAGTTAGTTTCTTGGAGTTCTTTGGTTTAGCACCGAGTCTTGTGAATTACTACTTTTATTTTTTTCTTCTAACATTCATCTTTTAAAAAGTCATATAAGTATTTTGTAGTTAATTAAACTTCTTCAAAAGGTTAAATTGTTTGGCTCGCTGGCTAAGTGTTCTTGTTGCAACATATTGAAGTAGTTAGGTAACAAAAACAGTCTCCAGTACTGCACCCAGCTGGGGTAAAGTTATCCAAAGTGGAAGGGAGTAAAGAATCCTAAAGGGATTCTCTGAAAAATAACTGAGCAGTGAGGCATAACTGTGTGGTTAAAGAACACCTTCAGCAAAGAGTTAAAGATACATTAATTTGTGAAAACACAGGACATTTTTAAAAATTAAATTTAAAGCCAATTAAGTAAAGTTTTTTTAAAATTAAGAAACAGCGCTCTTTGTTTATCCTTAACATCCCATGACATGCCTGCTGCCCTCTTTCTGGCTCCACAACATGAAAAGAGGCGCTAGAGGGAGGGAGGAGAGGATTGCTGGGGACGAGGTTCAGCTTGCTCATTCTGGAGTCTTTATGGGCAATTCTTGAACAAGGAAAATGGAAACCGGAGCTTTGGGAGGTGTCTTGAGGTTCTTATTACAGATGTTCTGTATCTCAGGACTATGGATGTATTTTCAATAAATATTTGTGAATGGATTAGATATTTCCCACAGGATCGGAGGCAAAAGAGACATGTAATCTTTTATTTAAAAAATACTGCTTAATATTTTTTGATACTAAAAGTAAACTATATTTATTATAAAGGAAGAAAAACATGTCATGTAGACATAAAAAAGGAAATTAAAATCCTCTGTAATTTCACCACCCCGAGACGATGATAATTAACCCTTTGGTGCTTTCTCTTATATTCTTTTTTTTTTCTTTTTCTTTTTTCTCTCTTGCATCTGTGTGTATTTGCAAATTGTTGTATTCTAAGTGATGGCTTAGATACCCTTTTTCCTTCACATATTGTAAGTAGTTTTAAAATGATATTTAATTTCATCAAGATTGCACAATTATTAATTAGAATGTTTTCCTATTATTGAACATTTATGTTGTTAACTATTCTTTGCTATAATAAATACCATTATGACTATCTTTGTACATGAACATGTGGCAGCATCTCTGCTTATTTCCTTCAAACTCCCTCGAATGGAATTTCTATAAGTAATAGTTCCATCATTATAGTGCTACAGAAGGATGGTGCCAGTTTACTGTCCAACCACCATTTTATGAGGATGCCATGTTTTATAACCCATGGCTGTATTTTATAGCTGAAGTTTAAAATCATTCCAGCAGATGTGATAAGGACACTGGAAACACGAGGCAACCTGTTGACGGTGGCAAACCTGGGTTCCCCAATGACCACCACTGGACCCTGGAGTCAGGGAACTTGAGTCTCACCCTTAGACGATAGTCCACCCCTCTCATTTAAAGATGAGGAAACCGAGTTCAGGAGAGGTTAAAGAACCTGCTCAATAATAAACAGCAGTTACTGAGAGACAAGGGTGAAAAACCCAGGTGTCCTTGTGTGCCAATTAAATTTCCCTTTTATTATGCAGTGTTTCCCAAGTTGAGGCTCATGAGATAATTTTAGGTAGACAAAATTTTTTTATCTATTTATTTTAAGTGTATTTGAAAAATAATGACTAGCATACCAAACCTTTAATTTCATAAACATTATAGTTTATTAATTTAAAAAGCTGAGTCATTTTAAAGAACAGTATATAGTAAATTATAGTTCAACTGTGGCAGAAACTGTAAGGTTTCCATATTATTGCCCAAAGTTTGAGAAACTGCCCTGCAGCGTAGTGTTTTTCAAAGACATAACCCTTGGCTAACCCTTTTGAATCTCATTTGTTCTCTTTCAGTTCGAGGGGTTGAACTCAGTAGATAATCTTCAAAGCCTCTGTCAGCTCCCAAGATTCTGTATGTCTGACAAAACGTGCACCCGTGCAGCATAAATATGCCTAACTAGAATGATACAGACAGTAGAGAAAATTATTTTTGTAATGGTTAAATATTTGATTTGTAATAGGCAAGACATTTACATGATTTGGAAATCCAAAAAATATAAAAGGACAGTTGGTGGAAGGATCCTTCCAGAGATATTTCATGCACATACAACCAAATGTTTACCTGTTCTTCCCTCTGTTTTTTTTCTTTATTACACAAATGGTAGCAAACTGTACATACTGTTCTGTACCTTTAACAATATTGCTTTCCCTAAGGGGCGCTCCATTTTTTATTTCCTAACAGCTTTATTGAGATTTTAATTCACATAGCATATAATTTACCCATTTAAGATTTACATTTCAGTGGATTTTAGTACATTCAAGAGTTGTGCAACCATTTGATTGTGCAACACAATCAATTTTAGAACATTTTTATCACCCCAAAAAGAAACACTAGTTCCATTAGCAGTCACTCCCCGTTTTTCCCAGCACTCCCAGCCCTAGGCAACCACTGATCTTCCTTCTCTCTCTCTAAATTTGCGTGTTCTGGACATTTCATATAAATGGAATGATACAATATGTGGTCTTTTGTGTCTGGCTTCTTTTGCTTAGCATAATGTTTTCAAGTTCATACACTTTGTGATGTGTCAGTGCTTCATTTCTTTTTATGGCTGATTAATATAATTTTGTATGGATATACTACATTTTTTAATCCATTCATCACTTGATGGACATTTGGGTTGTTTCTGCTTTTTGGCTACTGTGAATAATATTACTATGAACATGCATATATAAGTTTTTGTACAGACAGATGTTTTTATTTCTCTTGGGTATATACCTAGGAGTGGAATTGCTAGGTCATATGGTAACTCAGTTTAACCTCTTGAAAAACTGCCACACTGTTTCCCAACTTGGTTATACCTTATATAATCCTACCAGCAATATGTGAGAGTTTCAATTTCTCAACATTCTTGCCAACACTTGTTATTATCTGTCTTTTTGATTATAGGCATCCTAGTGAGTGTGAAGTGGTATCTCATGGTTTCTGTTTGTATTTCCCTAATATCTAATGGTGTTGAGCATCTTTTCATGTGCTTATTGGCCACTTGTGTATCTGCTTTTTTATATTTAGATCCTTTGTCCATTTTTTAAAAATGGGTTTATCTTTTGATTTGTTGGGTTGTAAGAATTCTTTAGATATTCTAGATACAAGTTCCTTATCAGATATACACTTTACAAAAATTTTCTCCCATTCAGTGGATTGTCTTCACTCTCATGATGGTGTTCTTTGAAGCATAAAGGTTTTTAATTTTAATGAAGTCTAGTTAATCTATTTTCTCCTTTGTTGCTTGTGCTTTTGGTTTCAGATGTAAGAAACCATTTCATTGCCTAATGCAAAGTCACGAGGATTTACACCTATGTTTTTTTTTAAGAGTTTTGTCGTTTTAGCTCTTACATTTAGGTCTATGATACATATTGAATTAATTTTTATATGCAGTGTGAGGCAGAGGTCCAACTTTATTCTTTTGTATGTGGATTTTCAGTTGTCTCAGCACCATTTGTTGAAAAGACTTTTTTTTTTTTTGGGGGGTGAGCTTACATGTGTTGCCAGTCTTTCTCTTTTTGCTTGAGGAGGATGGTCCCCGAGCTAACATCTGTGCCAATCTTCCTCTATTTTGTATGTGGGACGCCACCACAGCATGGCCTGATGAACAGTGTGTAGGTCCACACCTGGGATCCGAACCTGTAAACCCTGGGCTGCCGAAGTGGAGCATGCAAACCCAACCATTACGCGACTGGGCCAGCCCCTGAAAAGACTGTTTTTTCTCCCACTGCATTGTCTTGGCATCTTTGTCAGTAATCAATTGACTGTAAATGTGAGGGATTATTTCTGGACTCTCCATTCTTTTCCATTAATCTGTTATGTTCAGGCTTATGCCAGTATCATGGTGTCTTGATTGCTGTTTTGAAATTCGAAGTGTGTGTCCTTCAACTTTGTTCTTTTTTAAGATTGTTTTGGCTATTCTGGGCCCCTTGCATTTGCATATGGATTTTATGATCAGTTTGTCAGTCTCTGCAAAGACACCAGCTGGAATTTTGATAGGATTGCATTGAAGCTGTAGATCATTTTCAGGGAGTGTTGCCATTTTAATATTAACTTTTCTAATCCATGAATATGAGATGTCTTTCCATTTAGTTAGCTCTTCTTTAATTTCTTTCAGTAATGTTGTAGTTTTCAGATAACCAGTTTTGCACTTTTTAAAAAAAGTATATTGCTAAGTTTTTTATTCTTTTTGATGCAATTGTAAATGGAATTGTTTTCTTAATTTTATTTTCAGGTTGTTCATTGTTAGATTTTTGTATATTGATCTTGTACCCTGTAACTTTGCTGAACTCATTTATTAGTTCTGATAGTTTTTTAGTGGATTCCTTAGTGGATTTTCTATATACAAGATCATGTCATCTGCAAATAGGGATAGTTTTACTTCTTGCTTTCTGGCTGCCTTTTATTTCTCTTTTGGACTAATTGCCCTGGCTACAATCTCTTGTATAATGTTGAACAGAAGTGGCAAGAACATCATTTCTTAAGGCTTTTCTTATACTGATGAAATTAAGTACTTTATTAGTTAATCCCATCATCTCAATCCATTTGTTGCCATTAGTTGATGGTTTAGAAGAGGGTTTAGCCTAAAGAGTGAGAGGTGAGAGGAGGGACCAATACCAGTTTTAGGGACTCAGCCCTGGAGAATCGCAAGCTTTTACGTGTTTCCCAAACACTGTTGTTGAGGTTGAGCTCAGCTTCCCCAGAGCACTGATCTGAAGCCTGACAGCAGAGAGGTGCACACGTACTAAGTGTTTGGACCTTTCCAACAGGGTATTTTAATGAGTCCTGAGCACTCTCAGAACCCAGGGCCTCTTCCAGATTCAGTTTGTAAACCCCGGCAGTACACCTGTCAAATGGCAGCCAATTTCTATGCAGTTAATGTGCTTAGTTAAAATCTAAAGTTTCATGAATTTGACAGTTTAGAATCTGTTCTGAAGTCAGTATGGCAATTCATGCCGAGAATTATGAAAACAGTCATATACTTTGACTCTTTAATCTGACTCCTGGGAATTTATCCTTGAGAAATAATTCAGAAGACAAAAAAAAGAAAGAAAAAGAAAAAAGAAAGGGTGTTAAGATCTTTAAAAGCAGCAGTGGTAGGGAAAAACTAAAACTAGTTTAAATAATTTAAATGTCTAACAGTACTGGTGTGATAGAGTGTATTTTTATGTATCAAACGTGGATATATATTAGTGGAGTGTTATATAGTTACCAAAAATGACTATATAAAATCACTGAAAAGTATCTGCAAAATAATGCTAAGTGAAAAAAGAACACAAAAGTATAGATACACAGATTCCAATGGTATTACAATTCTGAATGTATATAAATAGTTTGGTGAGAGATGAGGAGGAAATTAAAATACTGTTGCATAAGGATGACAAATACTTGTGGGTAATGTTTTTAAATTGTTCATAAATTCTTTTCCAGGGTGTTTTCTTTTTTCTTTTTGGTTAGGAAGACTAGCCCTGAGCTAACATCTGCTGCCAATCCTCCTCTTTTTTTGGCTGAGGAAGATTGGCCCTGGGCTAACATCTATGCCCATCTTCCTCTACTTTATATGTGGGATACCTGCCACAGCATGGCTTGATAAGTGGTGCGTAGACCCATGCCCGGCATCTGAACCTGAGAACCTCGAGCCGCCGAAGCAGAGCGCTTGAACTTAACCGCTATGCCACTGGGCCACCCCCTTCCAGGGTGTTTTATTAATAAAAATATAATATGATCACAGTGCTAACTGGTCAAAAATTGAATTGCGACAGCAGCATATATTTTAGAGGTTTAGAAAAATCTCTACGGTAACATGATAGGCACTTAAACTGAGCCACTTAAAAATAATGACTATTTCAAATTCTTATTTACAAAGACAATAATTTCAGTTATTCTATATATTTTTTTCTGATAGAAAATTTAAAGAAACAGAACATGCAAATATGTAAAAAAATCACTTACGGTTCTATCACACAGAGATAGCTACTGTTAACATATTGGTCTGTAGCTTTCCATTATTTTTTCTGTCTATACATTTAAATTTATATATTTTTACATAATGGAGAATTTCAGATAGGCATAGATTATTTTGTAACCTCTGTTTTTTATCCCGAAAGTTGATGATGCACATTTTCATATGAAGGTGTTGTCCGGAGATCTTCTTTAGGCAGCCAGTTTCCTAGGGGCCTGGAGTGGGATAGAGCAAATGCACTTGCTGATTTGCTTCCCCCCCCACCCCGCCTCTGCTGTAGAAATTGGTGTGTTAGCCAAGACTTTCATTGACCAAGGGAAGCTCATCCCAGATGATGTCATGACCCGGCTGGCCCTTCATGAGCTGAAAAATCTCACCCAAAACAGCTGGCTATTGGATGGTAAGTGAAGTGTCTCGAGCATTTCAGCTGCCCCAAATGATGAGTGCAAGCAGAAGGAGCATTTCATGGGTACAGACAGACATCATGAATGGTGGGCTGCCACTCACCACCCTGAGGCCTTGGGCCAGTCATCTTCTCTGGGCCTGCTTCTTTATCCAAATGGAAAGAGGGAAGCGGACTGCATGATTTCTAAGCTCTCTTCAGATGTGACTTTAGTTCCTTCCCCCTCCTTTGAGAATATTTTATGATGAGGGAGGATCCCCGCAAAAGGAAGAAGGAAGGCTGGAGAGTAACTTACAATCAGCTGTAAACTTTCCCCTGCCAGAGGTGTGACGGAATCCTTGAGGATGGGTTGATTTTTAGTTTTTAAAGAGAGAGGTATTTATTGTGAGGAATTGGCTCACATGATTATGGAGGCTACCATTCCCAAGATCTTCAGGGGTAGTCAACAAGCTGGAGATCTGGAGAACTGATGGGTGATGTAGTTCCAGTCTGAAGGCCGATAAGCTCGAGATCCAGGAAGAGCTGATGTTTCAATTTGAGTCTGAAGGCAGGAAAACGCCAAGTCTCAGCTCAAAGGCAGTCAGGCAGGAGGAATCCCCCTTTATTTGGCAGGGAGGGTCCGCCCTTTCCTTCTGTCCAAGCCTTCAATAGATTAGATGAGGCCCACCCATATTAGGGAGAACAATTTGCTCTACTGTCTACTGATTTAAATGTTAATCGCATCCAAAAACACCCTCACAGACAAACCCAGAATAGTGTTTGACCAAATATTGGGGCACGCATGGTCTCGCCAAGTTGACACGTAAAACTAACCATCACAGTTGCCCTACAGGTGTAATCAGCCTGCCTGGTGTTACTGCTTTTGTTCAGATTGCTTAACATTACCTAATTCTCTTCCTTCTTCCCTCCTCCCTCCCTTCCTTCCTTTTTTTCTTTTTTTTCATTTGTAAAGGTTTTCCAAGGACACTTCCACAGGCAGAAGCCCTGGATAAAGCTTATCAGATAGACACAGTCATTAATCTGAATGTGCCCTTTGAGGTCATTAAGCACCGCCTCACTGCTCGCTGGATTCATCCAGCCAGCGGCCGAGTCTACAACATGGAATTCAACCCTCCCAAAACTGTGGTGAGTAGTTGTGGTGGAGCTGACATGGCCTTCCACATAGCACACTGTCTTGAGTCCTCTTGCCCGCAGAGACATAGGTTTTAAGACCTTGGAAATCCTCCGCCAGTCCAAAACTCCTGAGGGTATATTCTCAGATTCCTTGGTGTAGTTGACTGGTCTGGTCCACTCAGGTTGGTGGTAAAGGTGTCCCCAGGAGCAGCGGGGGTTTGTTATTCCTTCAGAAGCATTTATTGACTTCCTACTGTGTGCCAGTGAGTGTGTTGGGAGCTGGGGTAATAGGGATTAGCAACACCTTGGCTCATTTAGGGCTTGCAGTTGAGATTCCACGTGTGTAGGTGAATCTTTTTGTATATATGTGAAATTATTTAGAGGCTGCTTAGAAAATCTTTAAGGAGGAGGTGACTGACACTGTAGCAATTATCCTGGGGTCTCATGGCGCTGTATTGCAATGATCTGGGTTTGAATTTGATTCCGTTTATTTAAAAGCACATTTTTATGCTTGGTGCTTGAAAAAAGATGTATGTTTAAAAATCATCTGCTTATAAAAATATCCTTCAAAAATGTGATATTTGATACCAATCTCTTTTAATTCTTGTTTAGGGTATTGATGATCTGACTGGTGAGCCTCTCATTCAGCGCGAGGATGACAGACCAGAGACGGTTGTCAAGAGACTGAAGGCTTACGAAGCCCAAACAAAGCCGGTCCTGGAATACTACCAGTGAGTTTTCGCTTTTTAGAACTTCTCTTACATGATGAAGCACTAAGTCAGTTTTTGCTTACACATGCTTTGCAGCCGAAATGCTAGAATACCAGAAGATCCAGTTCAAATTGGTTTACATAGTAAAGGAAATGTATTAGCTTATGTAACAGAGCAGTCCAGAAGGTAGGTTGGGCTTCACTTGCCCCTAGGGTTGATCGGAGTTTTGCTTTTTTTATTCTCTCAACTTTGTGTTGGCTTGTCCTCAGGCTCCCTGCATAGTTGCAGACAGTTGCCAGGAACAGCCAGGGCATCATCTTTCATGAAGGGCTGAGGGGTCACCTTTCCCCTGGTGAACAAAAGCCCTGAGCATCACGCAGGTTGAATTAAACAGCCTCTGTGGTCAGGGAATGCCTTGTACTCTACTGTTTTAGGCCTGGGTTACGGCCCATTCCTGAACCAGTCACTGGGATGGGAAGGATTACACTGATTGGTCCACACCCGGAGCTGGGAGTGGGTTAGTCTCACCCAAACTCTACCTGTGACAATAGAGGACACTGTAGCACAGAAGACTCTCAAATGGCAGCTAACCCTCAGATCATTTATTTGGCTAACAGTCTTTAAAAGCTTATATTCTAACATAGTTTTATCTGCTGTTCAGGGAATTCATATTCCACAACAGATATGGGAACCATGCTGAATTAATTTTTGACGCAGGCTAAGAAACGATCCAGTTTCCTTACTCAGTCTTCCTCTCCTTATAGAGGACTGATTGCATCCCCTTTCCTTTCATTCATTCACTTACTGAATAATGATTCAGCGTCAGGACAGGACAGTGTTGTGGTTAGAGCACAGACTCTGGAGCCAGACTGCCTAATTTCAAATCCCCGCTCACCATCCAGTAACTTGGCCTTAACTTCTGTTTTCTCCTCTGTATGAGAATAGAGCGTGGAAAGATGAATTGATATGTGTACCTCTTAGAATTGTGTGTGACACATAGTAAGCATTTTATAATTATTAAATATTATTATTGTTGTTGTTATAGGGTAAGCATGCAGTGAAATCTAAAGCAATAGTCGCCAAATTGTTTTAATAGTTATTTCTGGAGGGCAAAATTACAAGGGGTTGGCGATTCACTTTCCACACAGTAGCTGTTACTGTAATTTTGTGATTTGTATAATGAGCCTGACTCTGCAGATTACCAGTGCTGTGGCCTTGGGCTTTTAACCTCTGTGCCACAAATTCTTCACGTGTAAAATCAAAGCAATATTAAATAGTACCTACTTTATAGGGTTGTTAAGGGAATTAAGTGACAGAATCCATGTAAAGACTGACAGTAGCCCTGGCACTATTAAATCACTGAGTGTTAGCTGTTATTATTTACTCTTTTGACACTGCACTAGGCTCTTAGTCTACACACAGATAATTAGACCTAGTCCCTGCCAAGCCCCAAGAAACTCACCTGCCATATGTGGGTGAGGCAGAGAGCTGGGTAAATAATATTTATCATCCAACGTGCTTATATCAATCAGGAACGTAATTCACACTAGGTTAAGCAAAAGGAAAATTTATTGGTCATGTAACTAAGATGTCCAAAGGTAGATGGCTGGGTCCAGGTGTTCAAACAGTGTCATTAGACCTCAGTCAGGCTCTGCTCCATTTTCCTGTGTTGGCTTCAATCTCTGGTGGGCTCTCCCTTTGTGAGCCCCTCATCACTCCAGCTTACCTCCTTACCAGTTTAGCTACCCCAGCAGGAAAGAGAGCCTCTTTGCCAGCAAAAGTCCTGGAGTTGGCACTGATTAGCTCTCATGTCCATCCTTGAAGCTGGGAAATGGGGACAATCCCACCTGAATCTCATAGATGGAGTTTGGTGAAGAGGTTGTTTTCCCAAAAGCGTTTGTTATTCACTCAAAAGTAACCAGAAGAAGGGAGAACGCGTTGTTGCTGGGCTGACAACAACACTGCAAGGCTATTAATAGAGGTAAATCACTGAATGCAGTGGCGGTACAGTGGCTGTGGGGATTAGTTCTGTAAAATGAGGGGAGGGAACTTGGGGAGGGCTGCAGAGATGAAGTGTGTAACCCGGGTCCCCATCTTAGGAGATACCCTAATCTGTCTGATGCTTGTGGCTTTTGCTGCCTCTTGCCATTAATTGAAGCTTTTCCTTGTAAGCTCCCACACACAGAACTAGGACTGGACTGAACCAAAAATTGCAAGTGGTATTTGCAACAACTTTAGTGATAGTCAGCATTGTTATTTTGAAATACTGACAGTTATATTGTTGTTTTTAAAACTCTTGGAGCTGTGGAAGATTTATAGAGTAATTAGGTCTGTGTTTACAAACAACACAATGCGCTTACTCTTTAGAGGACCAATAGTTGAAGCTGGTTCCGTTTTATTACATAGAAATTAAAATGACAAATGTTTGTCCAAGGTATAGCTTTAGTTAGGATTGAATAGGTGCCTGTAGTTGTGCCCTTAGTAATTAACCCACTTGTGACATTGGCTTGATTTTACAGTGGCTTTTCAAGAGGCTTACAGCAGCTAAGAAGCTTGTTCTCTTCAAAGCTTTACAAGATGTCTGTGAATTTAGAAGCAGGAGGGCTTCTAATGTGCAAAGAATACTGTATTAGCATCATGTCTCTGCTTAGCAGATGTTTCTTACCAAGAAACAGTGGGAGTTTTTTAAGTTAGTCTTAACTGTTCCAAATTTTATGCGGTATCAAGAAAGGAGTGCTTTTGTCCCCAGTGAAACCTCTGCAAGTCTAGAGAAAGGGCTGCGGAGGTGTGACTGATCCTGTTCTTAGAAAGCAGTAAAGCAGAGTTCTTCAGCTGCTCTTATGCAGCCTTTAACCCAGTGTGTATATGAGTGGGTCAGAGGAGGGTAACAAGAGGAATGCCAGAATTTCTGGAGGGAAGCTGTGTGTTTTAAAAAGCAACCCCAGGATTCTGATCCTCTTCACCATCTTACCTCCAGGAAACTGGAGTAAGCGGACTCTGACTACTGGTCTGGTGACAAGCCAGACAAATCTGCCTGGGGACAAATGGAGAAACACAATAAAAATACTTTTTTATCCCCCTAAAATTCAGAAGGATACCATAGAAGAAAAAATGAACTTAGGCGAAAAGAAGGAAGCACAATCAAGTATTAGACAGCTGTTCTGCAAATGGGTTAGACAGAAAGCCAAGGGGTGTCCTGGTGTCTGGCAGGCCCTGTGTTTGGAAACATACTACCAGTTTGGTGATTTGGGCTGTTTCTTTACATCTCTGACACACAGTTTTATCAGTAAAATAAGGAAACTTGAGCTTCAGAAAGGATTAAATGAACTATCATTATATTAAAGCACTTACCCCATGCTCAATAAACGATAGGTGCTCTTATTTTCTAAGTGACGTTTCTGTAAGCCAGAGGGCACAACTGAAACTAAAATCTAGGTTTTCCAATGCCCAGCCAAGTGCCTTTCTCTCTTGATCACACAGACCTATACTTATTGAGACTCCTAAATCCACATTATCATCTTTTAAGAGTCACTTTCAAAAAGCTCATTAGGAAGACTCAGACCGTTTTTTTGTTTGTTTTTGTTTCATCTTTAGGAAAAAAGGGGTGTTGGAAACATTCTCTGGAACAGAAACCAACAAGATCTGGCCCCATGTATATGCTTTCCTACAAACAAAAGTTCCACAAATAAACCAGAAAGCATCAGTTACTCCATGAGGAAAAGTGCATATAACTAGTAAGATGGGCAGAAGCTCCTTTTCCTAAGACTCATGTATGAATCCTTTGAAAATTATATTAATTTCATTATATTAATTTCATTTCTACTGATTTTATTCTGGAAATTAAGGATGTGCCAAATGCGTAAGATACCAAGATTCATCTTTTGAAATCATCTAGTGTGTTTTATCCAGTTATCTTCTATGGGTGTGCAGTTCAGAAACATCAGAGATGTCTAAACTTTTGAAAATTTAGAGCATGATTAAAAGAGCAGTTCGTAGTAATTTAATGTTTGTTCAGAAGAGTTTCCTTTTTTTTCTGGAAAAGTAAAAAAAAAAAAGAAAAAACTCCATATCATTTGGGGAAGTATCTGATCAGAGGCTTTTGTGTAGACTGATGCCAAAAGACATCTCTAGCACTGTGATACACGATTTTTTGAGACACTGTGTTTATAAAATTCCAGAAAAAAAGCAACTGGATTTACAGATCAGTTGCAGGGTGCAAACTCACTGCTGCCTTTACACTAAGAAACTTACAAGCTAGCCATATATGCTGTTTATTTTGTTGTTAAACATATCTTCAGTTTACTCAGAATTTTCAATTCACCATAAAAATGTATCAGTTAATATATAGGAAAATATTAGTTTCCTATGACTTGTTTGCTTTTGAAAATACCTATTTACTGAGGGATATGATTTCTGTTAGAAACTGACATTATAAGTTCTTGAAAAGCACCAAAATTGAATTTTCAATGGGAAATATAATTAGTCTTATGTTTTCAGATGTTACTCAGGTTAAGAAATGAGTCCTTTAGGTTCTACTCACCAATTTCTCTTTTTGATCAGAACGTATGATCTGCCTTGATGAGTAAGAAATTAAAGTACAAAAAAAAGAATGAAAGAAAACCTGTGGCACTAGGCAAAGTAAGCATGCTGTGTCATTAGGAAATAGAAATTAATAAGGTTTGCCTAGGGAAAATTCCTTTGACATAAATAACAATCATAACTAGTAAACAGGTGTAGCAATTAAAAGGATTTACACGACAGGTTAAAAAAGACCAGGAAACTGAGTTTGCTGAAGGAAGAGTTCTTTATTCCTAATCAAAGTTGAAACCTGGTAGGGCTCCGTGCCATCCTATCTTAAGGGGAAAGAACTCGGCCAGTGAATGTAATTTGAGCAGCCATTTTAAAATCAAAATGATTTGATTACTTAGTGGGGCAACAAGGATGCCTGCTTATGTGCTGTGGCCTGAAGGAAGAGTGTGGCAGTATGAGAAGTGGAGGAGAAACCCGCTATATCTTCAGTGGCGTATTTACTCTTACTTTACTTGGTGCTAAATCAAATGAAACAAGTCCTTGTACAAGCTGTTATTAACTGCCTTTGAAAGTTTGGCCCATTTTATTCCAGGCACTTAAAATACAACTGCCAGCAAGTGGTTCTTATGTATTTGTGGGAAAAAAACCTTACTTTCCTTTTTTTTGATTTTTTAAAATTCAGTGTTGATCTTCCAGAGTAGGTCACAGCTTTAAAAAAAGATTACAGTAAACATTTCATTCTGTACAAAACTTTGTCTTATTTGAATGTTAATATTACGTGCTTTCTAAAAATTTTGTGAACTAAATTTATGATTTATCACTAGGTTATTGGCATATATTAGAATTAATGTATTAGAATAAAATTAGGGCTGGCCCGGGGGCGTAGTGGTTAAGTGCGCGTGCTCCGCTGCGGCGGCCCAGGGTTCGAATCCCGGCGCACACAGATGCACCGCTTGTCAAGCCATGCTGTGGCAGCATCCCATATAAAGTGGAGGAAGATGGGCACAGATGTTAGCCTAGGGCCGGTCTTCCTCAGCAAAAAGAGGAGGATTGGCAGATGTTAGCACAGGGCTGATCTTCCTCACACACAAAAAAAATATAAGAATAAAATTAAATTTTTGAACTATGGATATTACTCTGTCTTTGGTACTTCACAGGGCCCACTCTTTCCCACCTTCTGTTCTGCTGCTTGGATGTCTCACTGGCTTCTGAATTAGTGACTGTTTCCTAATAATTGTCTTAAAACAGTACATACACTGGTTTTATTTTATGCTATACTTGATCTCCTGCTATAGTATTGCAGTCACACTGGCCTTCTTGACACCTTAGGAGATTTGCAAATCAAAAAGAGGGGTAGAAGAACATGGCTGTGAAGACTAAGTACATCCCTGTGACCATTCCCTCTCCACCCCCAAAACACTTAACCCAAGGTTTTGCACGTACGTCCATTACTTTGGGAAACGACTGCACCTTTTTTCTTTCTTAAAGCAAACAAAAAGAACTTGTTTTATGCTGAGTTGCTGTCATAGACAGTTCTCATGAAGAATAATCATTGCTGAGGAGTACATCCTGCTACCAAAACATAAAAATGCTGTAATGACCATCATTATGATTTATGTGCCACACGGAAACATGTCTGGAGCTGAATGCCATGGCTAGAAGCTACTATGCCTTAGTTAAAGGCTAATGAGAACAGTACTTCAACTTATTACCCTATTTTCTGGAGTGCCATAGTTATTTTGGTACACATTTCATAAGCAGTGTGTGCTGTGGGAAATGCACACTGGCAATACCATCCAGAAATTTTCTCAATTACATTTGAAATAGGTTAAATACTGGCTCAGATTTCTAAACTCCAGCCCATAGCTACTTTCCCCCCAGCTATTTACAGTGGCATTCCAGCAAAATAAAATATTTTGGACACGCATAGATTGTGACAAAACTTACCTATGTTAACAAATCATGGTAATTACAAACCTCAGATTATATTAAATTGTTGTAATACTTGTAACCAACAGCAAGAATAAATTTATATTTTAAAACATGTTTATAAGTTGTGTCTTCTCATTGACAAAAGAAAATATTCCCAGACACTGGTAAACCACAGAAATAGCTTTCCTATCTTTGCAGTTCAAGATTTTGACTTTGTAAAAGTTATAGTTTAAAAATTTTGCTTCTGGTAAAAGTCAGTGTGCTTTGTAGAGTCCATACCGTGCTCTATTTGCTTTTTTTTTTTAAGCTCGCTAATGATCATGTGTTTTTCTGTATATATAGCACTGAGTAAAGTTAAACTGTCATGCCAGATTGCTACTTTAGAAGCATTTTACCAAAGTGTAAATCTATCTGGTGATGTGTCACATTTAACTAAAGGATTCTGAAGTGTTTAAAGAGTAAATAGCGTGAAGAATCATGCTGTTTTAAGAAACAGGTGAAAGATGTGGGTATTTTTGTCATTTTCATAGTTAGAAAAGATCAAACTTCAAGTCTAATTCTTCAAGGCTTATGAGAATGGTTTTGACTTCATTATTAGATGGTAAGCAATTTATAACTTTTATTCATCTTTGTATCCCCTCCTCTCTATTAGCTTACATAGTAAGCAAGCAAAGAAATGAATCAGCTTCTCAGAAGACCTGTGAAATAGTACATACATGTCCATTACAGATGGAAAATGGATGCATAGAATTTTAGGAACTTATTAAAATGCATAGTCCAAAATTGAAAAGCCTGATCTCAACCCAGACCAGTACATTTCTGTCCCACATCAATTTAAGAACTGAAATACATGACTTTGAGGACAGTAAATTGACATCTTTTTATTTTTCTCTGAAAATACCTCAAGGTTAACTTGTAGATTACTTGGCCTAAACCCACAATCAATTTTTTCATCCTGTAAGTCAGTCTACTTACTAGATTCCTGTTCTTTGGGCAACAGTTAATTCACCTTTTTTTTTTTAAAGATTTTATTTATTTATGTTTTTCCCCCCCAAAGCCCCAGTAGATAGTTGTATGTCACAGCTGCACATCCTTCTAGTTGCTGTATGTGGGACGCGGCCCCAGCGTGGCCGGGAAGTGGTGCGTTGGTGCGCGCCCGGGATCCAAACCCAGACGGCCAGCAGCGGAGCGTGCGCACTTAACCACTAAGCCACGGGGCCGGCCCTAATTCACCTTTAGAAGAGTAATACGAATACTAGTCTGAAAGAAGACCCAATTTTCCTGAAGAGAAGTTGTAGGAGATTGTGAGCTCATTAGGCAAAATTTGAAAGAGCCAACTAATGGTATAATTGGATGAGAATGTTACCCATCTGTCTCTCCTAGAGAATAATTTTCAATCAGTATTATCTCCACCACCATTTAGCTATTTGGTTTTTAAAAAATCTTTTATTAGAAGATTAATTTTATCAAGTGAAACAAGAATCTTTGATGGATACTTGGATGTCAAAGATGTTGCATACATCTGTTTGGACTTTCCATATGTTGTGTAATTTGTTTTGAGAAAATTGTCCAACCTGAAATATAATTGTCCCTTTGCTTAGCATACTCTTGTTAAGAAACAGAAAAGAGGACATTTCTCTTAAGAGGAGTTAGTTCTTAGTACTAAAGCACAATAAAGAAAAGTAAAAAGGGTATCAATTTACTGTTCTTAGTACTAAAGTACTGCTAAATACGTAAAAGTCATAGTCTTTAAGTGTAAATTATGGCATCAGTCGCTGGTTTCCGAAATAAATCCAATCACACTTTCACATTCAAAACATAGAAGACTTCCTTTTGAAAGTTAGAAAATATATATAGCCAAAATTTAAATAGCTCTTTAGTAATTCCTTTTTTAGAAAACAAAAAGACCCTTCAGAATAGTTTACTCAGTTCATTGATAATTTCTCTCCTTCTAGTCTTCAGTCATTAATACCTCTAACTTAAAGAAGGAAGGCAAAATGACATTCAAAACAATTTGGGTGCTTAGGGGCGGCCCCGTGGCTTAGCTGTTAAGTGCGCGCGCTCCGCTGCTGGTGGCCCAGGTTCTGATCCTGGGCATGCACCGACGCACTGCTTCTCCGGCCATGCTGAGGCCGCATCCCACATACAGCAACTAGAAGGATGTGCAGCTATGACATACAACTATCTCCTGGGGCTTTGGGGGGAAATAAATAAAAATTATAAAAAAAAAAAAAGAAACAATTTGGGTGCTTAGAGGCAAATCTTGGGGGAAAACTGAAACTGAGGAATGGAAGTAATGGTTCAAGTAACATTTCTGTGAAACTGGGGATTTTACTCCTATGTCCACTCTCTATGTGATAGGAAGGGAAAAACAAGAGCTTGCTCCAGAACAAACAAAAAAGGGAAAAATACTTCTATAACTAGGTCATTGGTAAAAAAAAAAATTACAGGCTGATGACTACTATCATATAAATTAGTCAAACATTTTATTATAGAGTATATATTTATATCAAAAGCACAAAGTTTAATTCTGAAAACCAGGAAGATTGTGATGTTACAGAAGTATGATTCAATAATTCCAGTCCATTTCTATGGGTACTAAGTGACTTATCACCTCAGTTAGTTTAAGACAAGTGTGCAAATGAGGCCAAGGTCACAGGTGTGATCACCATATGGGTCCCTCAGCATTATTTGCTTTCTCAAATTGAGAAATGTATTCCCAGTCCCAGCTAGCCATTTCCAAATGTTGGCTACTAGTCTCAATGGGACTGAGCCAAAGACTAAACCCAATACAAATCCAAGTTCATGTTCCTGTAAGTCAGATGATTAATCCTCAAATAAAGATAGCATAAGTAGCAGTCATCTAACTCCAAATAAAATGAGTCATCAAATATCATGACATATTTGAGGTGAATTATGTAGGAAGTGGTAAAGCTCAGAAGCATTCTATGGTAACTGAGCTAAAGAGAGGAATGACGTAGTAAAGCCATCATTACCAATAAGGATCACCAAGTTCTTAGAAATAAGTAGTCGCCAGCTCAAGGCAGTTAGCTCTATAAGATTTCTCTTGCCTTTTAAAAAGTCCTTGGGCTACATCAGAGTGAAACAAACAATAACCGTAATTTAAAAAATCAGATCCTTCTTCCTGTTTGTTCTTATAGGCCATTAGAATTCTTTTAAAACTTGCTCCCTGAGAGACCCCCGATTACATCAATTAAAGAAATTAAGAGTGAGCTTGAAGCTTATCTTATTAAAAAAAAAATGTATATTAGCTTTATCACTTTTTATATCACTACAACCCTTAATATTAAAAAGTCAACAGGGTAAAATCAACTTCTAAGGAATAGTTTTGAGACTACTTAGGGAGTAAATTTAGTGTTTATATAAAATTAGTGTTTAGTGTTTATATAAAAATTGATATTAGTCAAGGATTTAACTGATGGTGCCGAAAATACAAATATAATGTTATTTTAAGGGGAAAGACTGTTTTTATTTGTACCACCCAGCTTATTTAGTAAAGTAGATTATCAACTACTGATTTATTGCTTTTAATATGATGAAACACCACATTTGACAGCTAAATTAGCAGTAGGATACAAGTACATTTTTATCTTTAATCATTTTTAGAGTAGGACATGTACATATCTATATAAAAAGAGACTGTAGCAGATGCCTCCTAGAATCAACCAGTTCTTGTAAACATTGCATTTGTGCAGATTTTCATACTTTGATTCCAAAATTGAGAACAATAAGATTAAAGGCAAATTTAGTAGCAAAAAAAAAAGTC